TATATATATATATATATATATATATATCCTACATCCTCAGGCCTTTTTTAAAATTTTATTTTGAGATAGAGTCTTGTTAAATTGCCTAGGCAGGCCTCAAACTTTTGATCCTTCTATCCCAGCTTCCTGAATATCTGGGATTACGGGAAGGCACCACCACACCAGTGATAAAGTAGCCTTGGGTTCAATCTCCAGTAAATAAAATACAACTCTGCTGGGATATAGCTCAGTGGTAGAGCACTTGTCTAGCCTGTGCTGGGTTTAATTCCCAGCACTATCAAAAAAAATAAATAACCCTGCCAACTACAGAGTTGAATGTCTACTGGCAGAACTGAGCAGAGTGGCACACGCCTATAATCCCAGAGATTTGGGAGGCTGAGGCAAGAGGATAGCAAGATCAAAGCCAGCCTCAGCAATTTAGCAAAGTCACAAACAACTTAGCAAGATTTTGTCTCAAAATAAAAAGGGCTGAGCATATGACTCAGTTAAGAACCCTTGGGTTCAATCCTTAGTACCAAAAAAAAAAAAAAAAGGAGTGTCTGCTGGCAGGCATCAGAATAGTCTACAACTAGTAAGTGATCAATATGCTGTAGGAATTTGTTAGAGAGAAAGGAGAAAGGCATTTGTTTGTAAATAGCTTAAGTATGAGGTGGTTGTGTGAGTTTTGCTGTTAACAAACTATCGGTAGGAGGCCAGCCTGCTTAACTCAGGTAATAAATCAGACTGCTACCTCTAGTGACAATCCAGAAACCAAACAATAAGCCCTTTAACAATCAGCCCCAAATAGCCAGGACTTGATTAATAACTGACAGTTTCCCTAACGTTGATCCTCAATTCCAACTCAGGACCAACAACGGAAAACATAATGTGCACCCCTAGCCAATCCCATAGGATGCCCTGCTCCCTGTTGCTCCACACCAAAGCTTCTCTAGGACAACTATTATAGCAAGCTCTGGACAGCCTTGGCTTGTTCTCATTTGGTCATCATTTACATTCACAGAATTTAATTTGATAAAGTACACAAAATGTAGCTGGGCACAGTGGTGCACGACTGCAATCCCAGCAACTTAGGAGGCTGGAGCAGGAAAATTCCAAATTCAAGCCTAGACTGGGCAACTTAGTGAGGCCTCCTCCCAAAATAAAAAATAAAAAAGGGCTCAGGATGTAGCTCAATGGTAAAGCACCCCATTACCAAAAAAAGGGGGTAGATCACCATTATAGAAGAAGAAGAGGAGGAGGAGAGGGGAAGGGGAAGGGGAGTGGGGGATATAGCTCAGTTGGTAGAGTGCTTGCCTCAAATGGACAAGACCCTGGGTTCAATCCCCAGCACCACAAAAGAAAAAAAAAAGTTTGTTTTTTTTCCAACAGTTTCTGAAAATGGCTTTGAGGGTTTCCCTGTACACGTGGAAACAATGTGTACTTACTGTTTTATACTCTGAAGGCTCAGCATCCGAAGAGGCTGCAAGAAGAAAACATAATTTACCATATATGATTAAAGTTCATAAAGGTTTTTTTTTTTAACCCATTTTGTGACTTATTCACACTTTCTTCCATTGCCTCTGATGTCTAAGGCATCTTGGAACCACCCTGCTCCGTACCCTCTAAAGAAGAAAGACAATTTTCAGCCCTCGGCACTTATAACGGGCACACAGAACGAACATTTTGTTCTGTTCCTATTAGGTTTGGTTGGAAAAGTTCTTTGAAGTTACAAAAGTCAGAACAGTAGGTGATAGTCTTTCCTCTGTGGGTTGGGGTAATAAACACAAAATTTAATGTTAGAGATTAGCACTTTAACTCCATGTGCCACGTCTGGGCAGGTGAAAGCCCCTTTCTCAAGGCGTTCCCAGGGCCCGCTCATCTCCAGCGACGGTTCAGCAGGATCCCCTGGCACATAAACACCAAAGCCTGATCTTGGACAGCAATAGATCTACTTAAAGAGAGAAAGAGCAGCTGGGAGCGAAGCCCAAACAACAACGAACAGAGGGTCGATGGCTCTACAAAGCCACCCCACAAGCCCCAGTTGGCGTTCCTCAACCCCTGCGGGAACCGTCAGTAACGGGTGCTGGGGACACCGCTAACGCCACCTAGACCTGGGAAGGGAGCAGCCACCGGCGGATTCTCTCTCCATCGCTTTTTCGATGGTCCTCATTACCTGCGAAGTCCCCCGCAAGGAGCAACAGTACCAAGCGCAGCGCCACGAAAGCCATCCTCCCTGCGCAGCTGTTCTCCTGATCTGCTCCTGTGCCAGCTCCGAGGGCGCTGCTGGCTAGGGGACTTCGGGGGCGGGCGCGCGACACGGCGGGAGGGGAGGGGCGGAGCCGGGAGGGGAGAGGAGTGGGCGGCCAGCTGGACACGCAGAGGTAGAGAGGGCGCGGTGGCAGGGGCCAGAGAGAGGAAGGATACGGGGGAAAACGACTTAGCGAAGGGAAGGAGAAAGAGGGAGGAGTGGGTGAGCTAGAAAGAACTTCTCTCCCTCCAGGATGGAAGTAAGGAGGGAGGAGACCCACCTCCAGCAAACAAGAACCTGGTCGGATCCCGGGGAGTCCTCTGGAACCCGAGTGGGCTCTTATCAACCTGCTTCTCTTTGTTAAGCTTCCCCTGTGTCCCAGGCAGTGTGCACATATTGGGCCCGGGAAATTCCAAAACAGATGAATCCATAAAATAATTTTTAAAACTGGGAGGGCCCCCAAGGCTTCCCTCAGGGAGGTCAGGAAAGGCAACTCAGAGATCATTTTTGAGCAGAGCGCTGAGAGATGAGAAAAAGGAAGCCGGGTGAAAACGTTGGGAAAAGTATTCTAGGTTCAAGGAAAAGCAAGTGCCAACAAGGCAGGAGCCAGTTCAGGGTGCTCAGGGGACTGGAAGAGGTCCAATGTGGCTGGACCATGGTGAAGCCTCATGGGTGCAGTGGGCACGGGAGAGAGACAGAGTCAGAAGGCCAAGATCAGGTATGGTGCTGGAGGCCGCGGTAAGGGAGGTGGAATTTGTTAGGAATTTGTGGAAGTTCATAAGCAAGGGAATGTGGTCCTTGCCTCCTCCACCCCCTCCCTCTGTCCGGGGATTGATGACCCAGGGCACTCTACCACTCTACCACAAGCTACCTCTTGCTCTTTTTATTTTTATTTTTTAATTAACTAATTTATTTTGTGGAATTAAATATGGAACCCAGAGGCCCTCTATCACTGAGTTGCATCCCCAGTTCTTTTTATTTTATTTTGAGACCAGGTCTCTCTACATTGCTGAGGTTGGTCTGGAATGTGTAATACTCCTGAAATCTCTGGGATTACAGGCATGTGCCATCTCTCCCAGCTTAACCAAGAATTGAAAAATAAACCAGAAAAAAAAATCAAGAAGAGGCATTTATATAATTTAGAGATGTGAAGGTAAATACCCAAATAAGAATTTTAAAAAAAAATTTTTTTTAATTGGAAAATGAGGCAGGATGAGCTTAGGAGCCCCTGACTGCTGCTGTTCAAACAGCTGACTGAGGGCAGGTGTTAGAGGCTGAATTGTGTCCTCTCCCAAACAGAATCTTATCTGAAGTATTACACTCTGGCACCTCAGAATGTGATGTATTTAGAGACAGGGTCCCCAGCCTTTTTAATTTTTTATTCTGTGACAGGGTCTCACTAAATTGCTAGGGCCTCACTAATTTGCTGTGGCTGGCCTTGAACTTGTGATCCTCCTGCCTCAGCCTCTGGGTTCACTGGGATTACAGGTGTGTGCCACCACACCCAGAGAGATAGGGTCTTTAAAAAAGTAAGTTAAGGGGCTGGGGTTGTGGCTCAGTGGTAGAGTGCTCGCCTAGCATGTGTGGGGCACTGGGTTTGATCCTCAGCACCACATAAAAAAATAAAAGTGTTGTGTCATCTACAACTAAAAAAATTTTTTAAAAAGTAAGTTAAAATGGGAGTGTTTCATGAAGCCTAATCCAACATGATTGATGTCCTAATAATAACAGGAGATTAGGACATGGGCAGGCAAAGAGAGAAGACCATGTGAAGACACAGAAGAAAAAAAAAATGACCATCTATAAGCCAAGAACAGAAGCCTCAAGAGAAACCAACCCTGCAAGTACCTTGACTTTGGATTTCCAACCTCCAGAACTGTTAGAAAATAAGTTTCTGTTGTTTAAACCACTCAGTCTGGCCAGGCACAGTGATACACACTACAGTCTCAGTGACTCAAGAAGGAGAGGCAGGAGGTTCACAAGTTCAAGGCAAAATCCTGCCTCTAAATTTAAAAAGCTGGGGGCTGTGGTGTATAGCTCAGTGGTAAAGAGCTCCTGGGTTCAATCCCCAGTATGGAAAAAAATAAACTTTAAAAATTTTAATGAAGAAAGAAAGCTTATTCTGAGAGGAACACATATATCAAAGCCCTCCAAAAGTAATTCATATGGTATTTGAGAATAATATTTGCACTTTCTTCTTCCTTGAGATGTTTCCTTTGGCATATTTACTGATCACTTTGTGAGACATTTAGAGGAGAGGAAAATTTTGAGCCAGTTCGTGCACCAACAGAACCATTTATTTTGTGATTCCTAAGTCTATATATCAAATATTGATCCCATGACCTACTCCCTTCTCAGTCAGAATCTAGTCTGGAAAATACAAGGTTCACTAGGTATTTCACCAGAGAGAATTTAATAAAAGGAATTGGCTATCCCCGTGTTGGAGAACTGGAAAAAGCAGAAAGGGAGAACAAAGCAGCTTACAGAGATAGTAGCTCCAGGAGACTGGTATCACCCAAAGTCTGAGGAAACACAGGGAATAGATTGGGATTACAGAATCTAAAAACTTGGAGGTGAGGCCCTGGAAAACTGGGACCTCTGAGAAGGTGCAGCTGCATGGCTGGTGCTGATGGCTCTGGGAGTGTATGAAAAGTTGGAGACTGGAGCCAGTTCCTTCTGCCAAGGTGATGGGCCATTACTAGGGCTCCTGCATGCACTGAAAGAAACAACAGGCATGTAGCAACACGCCCCTTCTTCTTCCTGCCTTCCAATGTGCCTCTGCAGAAAGCTCTGCCTGCTCTGAGTTACTCCGCGAGGTATAGACAGAAGTCTTCAGCCCGTGCCTAGCCCTGGGCTACTCCATTTTATAAAGCAGAAGTTTGCCATGAGTTACTCCATTTTGAGAACAAGTACTGAGGTAGAATAACCCTATACCTTGTTTCTACAAATAAACAGACACCATCTTACTAGCACCACCACAAGGCACAAGCTGATAAATAATTATGCCAATAAAAATGATCACCAAGCTGGGTGTGGTGGTGCACACCTGTAAGTCCAGTGGCTCAGGAGGCTGAGGCAGGAGGATCATGAGTTCTAAGCCAGCCTCAGCAAAAAGCAAGGCGCTTCACAACTCAGTGAGACCCTGTCTCTAAATAAAATACAAAAAAGGGCTGGGAATGTAGTTCAGTGGTTTAGTGCTCCTGAGTTCAATCCCTAGTACCAACATATATAATCTATGAATTTATCAAATTAATCAGAAGCACATGAATATACAAGCATATTAAACTCATATCAGAAATATGAGGCCCATAAGCTTATCAAACACATCAGACCACCCAAAGAAGCAACTCTCTCATCTGAGACACAAAAAAGAAGACTGGACATGGTGACACCTGGACCCCATCACCTAGACACTCGTCACGAGTCTTGTCCAGGAAAATCACTATAGGGAAAAACCTCCAAGACTCTGTCCGCGGTCTTCAGTAGAGCACGATTTCACCTGCCCGTGACAACCGCACACAGCCCACTCCAAGCTGACATCTAAAGGTGACTCTCCAAGATGACGCTCTGAAGCTGCCTGGTCTAAAATAAGTTCCTGTGCATCAGGTATGGTGATGTATACCTGTAATCCCAGTGACTTGGAAGGCTGAGGAAAAAGGATCAGAAATTCAAAACCAGCCTCAGCAATTTAGTGGGGCCCTAAGCAACTTAGCAAGACCCTGTTTCAAAATAAAGAATAAAAAGGGCTGGGTTCAATCCCCAGAACCAAAAAAAAGTAAGCTTCTGTGCTTTGACAGCTCTGTGCCCTCAACAAGTTCTTCAGCTCAGGCTGATTCTTATTCTTCTCCTTTCTTCTCCTCCTCCTCAGTACTGGAGATTGCACCCAGGGAACTTAACAACTGAGCCACACACCCAACCCCTTTTTTATATTTTATATGGAGATAGGGTCTCTCTAAGTTGCTTAGGGCTTTGCTAAATTACTGAGGCTGGCTTTGAACTGGTGACCCTCCTGCCTCAGACTCCCAAGCCACTGGGATTATAGGCACACACCACTGCGCCCAGATCTATTTTTTATTTTGAGATAGGGTCTTGCTAAGTTGCTTAGGGTGAGGCTGATTTTTTTTTCCTTTGGTGCTGAGGATTGAGCCCAGGATCTTGGGCATGTGAGGCAAGCACTCTACCAACTGAGCTATATCCCTAGTCCAAGGCTGATTCTTAATCTTACCACCTAGAGTGACTGCATTGTATCTGCCTTTGCTCTCAGTTTAGCCTTCTCAGCCCCCTATGATGTATTAATTCTTCCTTAGCCTTTCTATATAATTTATATACAGAAGTGTGTGTGTGTGTGTGTGTGTGTGTGTGTGTGTGTAAGGTGTTATATATGACTTGAGTGTTAGATATTAGCAGTTAAGACTAGAATAAAAGAATTTGTGATTGCCCGGCTTATGACTTCAGGTGACTCAAGAGTATTTGGTGAATTGTAGCTGCTGAAAGTGCTCATGTATGGTCGTCACAAGTGACCAGGTGACAGAATCATGGTGCCACCATATTCAGTCTTAGGGTACTCCTCCTTTTATGGGTCTCAAACGAGGAGGTTGCTCCATTCAGTGGTCTTGTATGTTTGATAAACTCATAGGCCTGGTTTTTCTGATATGGGGGTGCTTCTGAATAATTTGATAAGTTCATGGTGGTCATTTTTATTAGCATGATTATCAGTTTGTGCCTTATGGATGTGCTATTCAGATGGTAGTTGTTTTCCTGTTCAAACAAGGTATAGAGCCATTCCACCTCAGTAACTCATGGCAAAATTCTGCTTTATAAAATGGAGTAGCACAGTGCTAGGCACAGCCTGAGGCCTACTGTTCTGTATATCATGGAGTAACTCAGAGCAGGGAACAGCCTGCTATCTACACCCTGTCACACATCCTGTAACAGAAACTTCAGGAAACCAACTGGCAAAGCAAAACTGCAGAGTCCAGATATCACAAAGCAGAGTGTGGGAGCATTTTAGTCCTTAGG